GCGAGACAGCAGGAGCGTGGGGGACAGAGACAGACAGACGTGTGAAGGGGGAGAAGCGAGACAGCAGGAGCATGGGGGACAGAGACAGACAGACGTGTGAAGGGGAGGACTGACCTGCAGCAGGTTGGTGCGGATCCTCTTGTCGGTGCACTGCTTGGCCACCTCCTTGGCCAGCCGGGTGACCTCGTCGGAGGCCTTGGCGATGTCCTTGGCGCACTGGATCAGGGCGCGCTTGTTCCCGCTGCCGCCCCGCACCAGCCGGGACATCTCGGCCATCAGCAGCGCCATGCGCTTGGCCGCGCCGATGATGTCGTTGCCCTGGGGCGGAGGGCGACAGAGGTGAAGGGAGGGCGGGAGGAAAAGAAGAGGCGCGGCGACAGTTCGCGGGGGAGGTTGACAAAATGCAAAAACGCAACATTTGCGATGCATCGCAAACAAGAGAAGCACCCGTGGCAAAGAAACTGGCATTCTGAAAGGACACCACAAGAGCGACAAAACTCTGACAGAACACGAAAATCTGAAAAAAAACTCAGCAGTGTTTGCTGTTCACTCATAACATTGTGGTTCAACTCATTTTCAAGGCAGCAATGACACAGATGTGTGTAAAATACTTTCAAAAGAAAAAACGTTATTACTTCTAGTAATAATTACTATATATCTTTCTTTTACCCTGAGTAAGGGCACATCTGTGCCCTCAATTAATGATATAATTAATGCACTCAATAATTATTATATACATGGCAAACCTCTCCTTGATAAATTACAATAACTTGTCTGTATTTAAAATCATGATCACATGAAAAACAAGCCTTTTCCTCTTAAAATAGCCTACTTCAGGGCAGTGTGTTCACCATTACAGGTTTTTTCTCCGAGGTTAAATGAGATACAGTGACCCACTTATCAGTGTCAGCTGCACCCTGGGGGAGACAGCAGGTTTGGCAAAAATGTTCTGGGAAAACATATTAAGCCTCCAATGAAGATTTGGTGTGTTATATTGTGCCGGACCTTAACAGCATTGTAACATACTGCAGGATTAAGGCTGACACTGTACTCTGTCTGACCACTCTCCCTCCATACTCAGACATCACTCATCAGTATCAGACAAACAGGTGTTCATTAGTGAGCATTCCACGTCAGGCTCACACCTTGCACGGCAGCAGCAGTTCCTTCGTGCAACACGTGAGGAGTTAGTAATGCATATGATAAAGGAAGAAGGTCTGCCCATCCCCCCCCAAAAAAAACTACTTACAGTATTACCATTTCCTTTTTCTCGATAGTTTTTTTAGTTATCTAAATTTATTCAGCTAGAGAAAACTAAGTAGTCATTTGAGATTTACTGGAAGCAATATACTCGAATCTGTTATCTGCCACGTAGGTTGATTTTAGTGAAAATTGATGTTCAATTTATTTTTGGTTTTATTGAAAAAGTAACACTGAGGGAAACCAACACTAAATCAACTCTGGCCCTCCTCGTAAGGAGAAATAACAGAGGTTAGTTTTTTCTCATTACACAAGTAACAATCACTGTCTGCAGGTATAGGACCTTATTCATCCTGCCTTGCTGACAGAGGGTCCATCACTGCAGCAACAGAAATAAGGTACCTTAACTTCCCTTGTTTTAATCCTTCCATGGTCTCAACCCCCCTGGGCACAGAAAAATGCAGACAGTCTTCCTTTTCCCTAGACGTATGTTATTTTTAAGAACACATTTTTGGTGTGGTTAATACTCTTTTTCTCAGTGAAGCCACAAAAAAAACAAAGCAAAAGGGTGAAATGACTTCACTCATCGTCATCCCAGAGAAGTCATTGAGAAACTGTCATCTATGGCTTCACAGGTTGGTGAGATGTCACTTAAAAAGGAGTGAGCTAGCACAGACCCAGCACCGAGGTGCTCTGCTGTTGGGAAGGAGAGCAATCTCTCCCCCTCAGAGGACCAGGAACCTAAACTGGAGCCTTAATAGAAAAAATAAGGAAGCCGGAGCACTTGTGAAGCCACTATCAGTTTGTCCGAGAAGTGCAAAAAAAAACAACTCATCATCCAAAGTCGAGGGCACCCAGCAAGGATCAAAGAGTGATGCAACAAGACCGGGTCAAGTTTCCGCACGCCTGGGATGCAGACACGGCCCATGTGCAGGGGAGCAGGAGTACCTTACTGGACCACTTGCGCGCTTCCTGGTGTAAAGACCGGGCAGCAGCCAGAATGGGCTGGTTAACGGGCTGATTGGTGGGCATTAAGAGCAGCTCGGGCTCGTAATCATCTTCATTGTCTGAGGGGAGGGTGAACTCAATATCGTCGACTTCGTCCTCATCATCTATATCTACATCCGCCTCTGCGGCTTCAATACCCTCATCAGTCACATCGGGCTTGGGAGCAGGAGGAGGAGGAGGAGGAGGAGGTGGGAGCATGGAGAGACAAGGAGAGAGTTAGTGTGAGAGGCACGAGATGGAAACCAGGAGCAGGAGGAAGAGAAGCAGCTCTACAGGGCGGGTGAAGACAAGAAGGGGCAACAGGAGAGGCCCTACTGCTGTAGAGGCAGCGGGATTCAAGCTAACAGACAGAGCAGCGTCCTTCAGACAGCCATGGGCTTCGCCCAGTACAACACCACCCTGAGGTACGCGGTTTGCACTGCATGTGAGGAGAACTTGCAGATTTTGCATTTCTGGTGTTGCCTGATCAATGGCCGTTTTTGTCCAGCCTACCCAGAACTGTCAACCCTTTCACTTCAGAAAGAGCAGTGCACGGGGCAGCTGGATATTTCTGGTGTGAAGGTGTATTCACCTAAGTCATAAGAGGTACCCTGTCTATAATGGAACAGTCGCCTGTATGAATACTCTAGACACAAAAGGTCTTCATCACTCATAAATCGAGGATACGAAGTGTGCCTGCAGGACAATGTTCCTAGAATTGAAAAGCAATCCTTCCTACAGTGGAAAATAAGAGCACTGCGTTCTGGGCCTTCAGCAGTATAGGGACACGTGACACAGCGTGTGGTCACCCCAAGGCACAGCACCAACGTGAGAACAGTAAGATGCGACCTCAACCAGGAACGGGGCCAATCCTCTTGGGAGTGCCTTCCCTCTCCTCCCAGGTGTGGACAGATTCCAGGAGGGTGTGGCCAGGGCACAGCAAGACTGCAGACACGCTCCTGTTGCAGGGAGCATGTTCTTGCTGTAGCTTCCTGACTCTTCACACAAAGCTTCCTCTTCCAGGGTCACGATTTAGCCACCACGGCGCACAGCAGGCCAACCTGCCCTCAACGCCTCTGGTTTCCCTGCGCCTGCGGGCCTGGGTCGAGCTTGTGCAGCACGGGGCTGCTCTCCAAATCACAAAAATGAGCCGTCTTCTTCCTAATACACCGAGCGGCAGCTGATCGCAAGGCGGTCTTCCCTCAATCGCGCATCTTCCTCTGTCCCGCACTTTGCAGGCTGAGGCCTCTTGAAGCCAATTCTTAAGGTGCAGGTGAAATCCTTGAGCTGTGTCATGGTGTGCCTATACTCACGGGGTCTGATAGCCAGTTTGTTCACTGTGCTCAAAAGGATTTGTATGAAATACATCTTTTCTCTCCTGCGGTGAACTCCAGTTAATTCACACAGGTGAAATTAGTCAAAATAATCACAATGGGACCTCATGAGCACAGGGGGAACAGCTGGATATTGCCTTCCGATATCTCATAAGTACTCATGCAAATGTAAATACAGCTGAAGACCCATGTCGCAGTAGCAGTCCAGTTACAAAAGACAAGCAATGAAGACCTCATCCACCAGATTCACATTTACAACGCATATACGAATAAAAACTGAAAAAGATGGTTTATACCTGCTCTAGTGTTGTTGCACTTGTTTTGTGTTGTAACGGGGAAAAAAAAACCTGTGACAAACTACACTGGCGCTTACTGTATAAATATAAGGACATAATTTAGGGGTTTTACAGCACTGATAGGTCAGATTATTTTGTAATCATTATTAAAAACTAACACTGGAGCCTATGTTTGATGACTAGGATTAAAAACTACAGTATCATTTCCCTAATGACTCTGAAATGTTTAGACTTAGATCTAATAGAACAGCAAGTACAACCTCAGAAAGTCTTCACACTGAAGGAGAAAAGCTGAAGCAGCACCAGGGTGCTAACAGCCCCAAGATGAGACTGCACAGAGTCTGGCAGAAGGCAAGAGGAGAATCAGGCGCTAAGGGGCCTCCACAGGTTAAAACCTTGGAGGAACAGAAGAGGCCAAGAGAAAACACAGGTGGAAAACAGGCGGGAGAGGAGATTACAGACAAAAGCAGTTAGGAGGAAAAAAGTCATTAAGAAAGTAAATCAAACAGCACTGAATTAGTAGAACAACTTCTGACAACTTAAGTAAATTCCCTAAATATTTACCTCTGATCAAACAGGAATGTAAACCCAGTCACTTAAAAAAAAATATAGACGGTACAATCTTTCTTTACAATAATTTTTTTTTTTGCTTTAGAAAGCCTCACAGGAAATCCCACGACGGGGAAAATCTCAGCTGGTAATGATAAAATTCACCGATGAATATTCCTGACGGCAAAGCCGTTTCAGTTCATAATCAACGATAATTAAAATTTCTAAGCACTGGACTGGAGTGTAGGCTTGTAAACAGCGAAACCAGGGTTTGTCAAATCTAAACTAAGAATCCAGATGTGGGATGAAGTCATTTGTTGGCAGATGAGCACGAGAACAAAGCTGGCGGACCATAGGAAGCCATTTGGCTCATCTGCCTCGATTGGTTTTTAGTAATTAATTGATCCCTGACTCTCTTGCAGCCACAGTGGCCTCCTGCTATAATCCACCTAATCCTAAATGTGTACGAAGGGACGCCAACAATCTGTATACAATTGTAAAGCAAAAGGCTTTGTAATAAAGGCCATTTTTCCCCAAAATGTAAAGCTTACTTTTGTTTCTGGATACACAAATATAGAAAAGACTACAACCAGACTATTTTATAAAACAACTGCAGAGGATTTGCAGGGGGTATTCAGCAGTAGCATACTGGGCAAAAGAGGTCCTTTTCAGGCGAAAGGGGGGAAAAAAGAGGCTTTTCCGCTGCTTCAGATTTTCTGCTACAAATTCAGGTTTGAAATCTGTGCAGTAAGATGAATCTGCGAGACCAGATTCGGGTTAGAAATCAGTTTGTTAGAAATCTAACACGCATGCATTATTACGTAGATGACAGTTTCTGTTTTAGGCCTGAAATTGGAATGCACTCCCTCGTATTTCCAAATTTCAGTGCCATAATCTTCTACAATGTCTTAAGCCCCGTGGCTCCGGGTACGAGGGGAAGACACCTACCTGCCAAGCCGCAGCTCCACCAGACTGCAGGCCACTCGAGCGCTGGAGCTGCGCAGCTAAGGAGAGGGCTGGGAGAATAAGCCAGCCAGGGGCTGGGCCGTGCGGGGAAGCGTTCCCTTTAGGAAGGATGTCTGCCACAGTTCAGGAGACTGAGGAGTCTCTACACCACGAGGCAGGAGAGATCTTTGACGTCACTGTGGGCCAAAGTATTTCACTGCAAGGCATTCATTGTGCATGCTTGCATGTCCCCCATGTGGGGAGCCAGAATCCTAACCTTGGCCTCTCGACGAAGCCGAGCTGAGCCTGGGGACTTACACAAGCTGCACTGTGAGCCTTTGAAAGGAGAAATCTCCTGGGGTACACAGGGACTCCTCTTTATTGTGGTAGGAGTAAGAGGATAAAGACACCATCTCTACCAAACAGGGGATCTTTCGCACTCCTGTTAGACTGCATTTCACTGTTAAAGGTCCCGAAGACTTGCACAGCCAAAGGAAGTCCCAAACCGTTGTATACTTCCCCTCTACTCCCCCAACCTTCGGGATCGAACCACCAGAGGACACAAGTGTTAAGGGCTGCTTCGGTCTCAAGATTCCCGGCGCTGGTGACTCCCGGCTGCAGCTGTGCGCCGGCGGGGCAGTCCGGCCCCGGAGCCAAGAGAGGACACTCACCTTGCTGGACCACTTCCTGGCTTCCTCGTGCAGCTGCCTGGCCGCCACCATCATGGGCTGGTTGACCACCTCCCCGGCCTTCTGCTCGGGGAACTCCTCGTCCTTCTCCTCCGGGGGCGGGGGTCTGGGAGGGGGCACCTCACCCTCGGGGAGAGGGGGCTTGGGGGGAGCAGGCTCGTCGTTAACCTGCGCAGTAAGGGGGGGTTACACTGTACCACCCTGAACACGAGTCAACTTGCTAAACTGCTCGACTCGCCGCCTCGTCTCTAAAAGAGAAAGACGGCCTTAAACACGCCAACACTTACAAAAAGACGACGTGGACACAGCTCCAGAGGAAGGGAAGTGCTAACTTACATGCAGTTGATCCAGATCTGGAGGGGGTGGAGGGAAGTCGGGCTCCTGGGGCTGGAAGGCCTCACGTACTTTGGCCACGGCTCCCAGAATCCTGTATCCAGAGTCCAGGAAGCTCTTCTGTAGACCTGCGTACGGAGAGGGAATGCTCAGCATCAAGCACCTGCCTCCCAGTGTAAACCTGTTACATTGGGGGGGGGTGCCAGGCAACAGCACCAGTCCATCTGTGCCTTCCAGGCAAAGGGAAGTGGGCAAGGCCACCTGCAGCCCAGGATACGGCATGGGAGCCCGGTGTAACCAGCACAAACCACCAGTGACTCACCAGCTCCTCACTCTCAATGAGTCCCCAAACCTTAAAGCCTTGAAGGAGTGAAAGCAGGATGGTTTAACTCACTGTTCAGCTTCTGGCTAAAGAAACATTTGTAGAGCAAATGTTAGATGGAAGTTTAGATGGAAGGCCTCAGCAGGCTACTCTACCTTAAAAGGGCCTGAAAGGAGATCAGAGTTTTCTTTTTATATGCACAACTGAAGGCCCTATATAGTTTAAGATTAAGAGAGTATGACGTCAATTTTGACTCGGAAACGGGGTGGAAAGTAAAATAGGCCACTTTTTTCAAAATATCCTTTTCAGAACCAAGTTTTTATCAGAAAGTTCATTTCTGATAAAATGTATTTTAGTTCGTAATAGTTTGTATTATATGAATACGAACTATTATATGAACATTGCTTAAAAGTAAAAAATAAGAGAAAACTTTGAAAAGTGAAATCAAGGCACTGAGTACAGTAATGTTGCTGGAGGTTTTATGCTGATAAAAAAGCGCAGTATTTAAAAGCAGCGCAGTGTGCAGTGATGGCAGCCTGAGACGAGACATTTTCCACTGAGCCAGGGGCTCATGGGTCGCGAGAAGAAGCCGTCTGCAAGAACTCAGCTACATGAAAACTCAAGAGCAACATGCATAATTTACCGAACACCTAAAAAAACGAATACTCCGATTTATTAGAAGCTTATGCTTCCCATAAAAGAAGCCACTATGTCACATCGGAGAAAAACAATTTGTCGCTTCAATCCCAGAATGCCGAGCCTGGCCACACCCAGACAGGGCGTGCTCTGGGGAGGTCATGCGGGAGAGGGCCCTGTTACCTGGGTCCTGTATGTTCCCGGCCACGGCCTTGGCATCCATGACCATGGGGGAGATGGTTGTGCTCAGCTCGTCCGAGGCGGCCTTCACCGCCTCGCGGAACTTGGGGTCCTCCGAGTTCTCCACCTCCCGTTTCGCCACCAGCAGGATGCGGTTGGCCCGGCGCGCGATGCTGGTTGCCCCGGCGACGAGCATCTGGGGCTGCACGTTGGCCATGGCCACACGGCACTTGTCAATGTCCTTCTTGATGGCGTCCTCGGAGGCGTCCAGCAGGGACTTGGTGTCAATGGCTTCATCCACCAAACCTGCGGAGGGAAAGACGCCAGACACATACCTGAACACCCGAAAAAATCAGACTTCCACGCTACAAAGTTACACCGATATTACAATACAAGATATTACACAAAATAAGATTTACAGTGGCACACGTACACACTGTAAAAAATAAAATTAGAACCTTCACATTCATTTTAGGCAAGTAGCTTCTATCAAGGGGAAAATACATTTTTAATAAGCTAGTAATTAACCATAAGTAAATGTTGCCAGACATTAGAAACATTTCTTATTCAATACATTT